CTTCTCTTGAAACTGAACTGAAAAGCATTAAGACGCTTCACTTTCCGGACGGTATTCTGTAGCAGCAGTAAGCACTCCAAGGCCTTTCAGAGGGGCTGACCATCTAACTATATGCCTCAGATCGATCATCTAGAATTGGCTTTCTTTGATATAGAATCACTGGCCACGTCTGTTGCGATGTGGAATTTTGCTAGAAACGAAACATTGGTTATAATTACGTATAAACACAGTTGTGAGCTAGTTAGAAGCTAGCTTCAGAACAACAAGAGTGAATGTAATCCAGCTTCTAAAGTAAAAAGCGGCTGCAGAAATAAGTGTCCATTCCCTTTGGTAGTCACGATAGGTAGAGGGGGAATGGATTTGATGTTTGAGGCAGCATCGGTTTTAAAACTAGAGGAAACAGGATTTTAGTTAATTCATGCCTCGTGTGTAAACTGACTTCATTTAGTAGCCACATAAACCCTTCAGCAGCTTTCCTCTTTCTTTAGCATCATACGAACGTATAAATTCCTGAATATGGAGTTAGTGATTCAGCGAATCTCAGTTCTGATTGCATTGTTCAGCTGTATATATGCTTCTTAATCTCTCCATTTAAAAGCCGGCGCCTTCTGAGCCTCGACGACTTTAAAAAGAAGAACAGAAATACCTACGAGAGACGCGTATGTTTACCCGAGTAGACAGCATGAATCAATAACTAAATTTGGGTACATGGTCACTATTTCGGTACCGATATCGACTGATAAAAAAGTTTCTTAAAGTCAATGTTTTACCATATATACTGCATCCCGGTTTATGCGTGCGCATGTATGCTCATTATCTCATACTTCCTTTTCTTTATCTTCTTTGGACGTAGACATAACTGATCAAAAATTCCGAGAACAGTCGATCTGTACTATACGATTTCAAAGCGCGTCAACGCCAACCTTACTAGGCTCAAGTAGACACGAATACAGAAAAATACTTGCAAGCTGTGCAAACACAGGGAAACTCACAAACATAAAGTTGTTTGTCAACGTGGAATACGTGCATCGGAATCGGTTTGCATCAAATGAAGAAGAGAAACTTTTTTGGCATTAACAATAATATCGAACTGAAACGGCGAAAATCTACAGGGTAAAGAAAAAATTTTACATCGATTAAATTTTATACTTTACACCGATACTGCGGTGGTGTAAAGACAGATGGAAGTCTTACTGCAATATTGCACCGCCTTCTGCTTCTAGTTGCCTATGGGGCCATTTAAGTAGGCCACGGCTCCAGACCAGCAGTGCATCGAACGCATTGCCACGTATCTTGGGTTGAACAAGGGCATGTTCGAGGTCAAACACACTCCGCAGGCAAATCAGCAAAAAACAACCCCGATCATCTAGTGTAGCTCCCAAGAGTGTGAGCCTGTGATACCGCCGTTGCATAAATGACATTAAGAAAACCATAACAGGTTGAAACGTCAAAAAGGTAGTCTAAAGAAGAAGATAAATTTCTTACTTTACACCGACACTACGGTAGAGTAAGATAGGTGGAAGTTTTACGCAGTAATGCACGCCCCCTAACTTCTAGTCGCCTATGGGGCCATTTAAGTAGACCAAGGCTCTATAGCATTTATGCTACTGTAGTACATATGGAGCATGACTGCATTTCTTAGTTGGGTTGAACAATGGCATTCAATCACAGAAATTTTTCTTTTGAATTTGAATTGAATTTCCCGCTTAAAACATATCTATAGAAGGCTAATCATTTAAACATAAATTTGAGGAAGAAAAAGTTCATCACTCATCGATACATGATTATTCAAACAATGCGCATGAACGGAATAACGGATTTTCTGTACAATTGTGGAAGAGTAGATAAGCATCGATATTTTGAGCTTGTATCAGTTCACAGCGAGAGATACTTGAATGACGAGGCATTCAATAGGTGAATGACATCATCTAAGATCTTTTTAGCGAGTCGAAATTTATGCCTGATCACGGAATCGACTATCTGTTCTGCTAGTTTCGAAACGTATCACACTAACCGACGACACCAGACTCAATGCCTCTGGTCCTACGCTGTTCTATTAAATAACACTAACACTCGACTAGTTCCTTTTTCAGAAAAATGCCCCAATGTTTAACAACAGTCTCATGCCAAAACGAAATCAAACATTTTCATTTAAGAAAAATAGCTGCCAATGCCACCTCTGCCTTTCAGTTATATATCGGTTCATCAAATACTAGAAGAGAAAACGATTAAAAGAACCAGATAGAGTTTGTGAACCCGTAAGTACGAAATCACCAGGTCGCCATCAGCCCTACCAGCTGGTGGCATGACTCCATACGCTGACATACAGTTGCGGCCAGCGCAATTCATCGCGGAATACAGGACGGTGCAGATGAATCGTATCAGTGCTCCAGACTACTGCTTCTGCCCCCAGTCTCTACAAGCAAAATGCGATCTCAATGTGTCATGCAAATTCAGAGAAATGATACCTACTCGTTCCTCGCAACAACAGTGTGTTAACTTACTTTTGATTATAAACTACGATTTCTCTTACACGTGAATAAATATGCAAAAACTTTGTAAAAATACCTTTGTACTTATATGCGCCTATATTTTGCATAAAAGCCGTGGGTCAAATAACACAAATGATAAAAACCAAAGGAATTACGCATGTGAATAATCTAACGACTGAAATAACAAACACGAGCAACGCCAGCAGATACTAGCTACCGTTTTATCTTGATGAAGAAGTTGATTTCCACAATAGCGAAACGCGGCAATATACGAATGCTTATTTGCAGACAATTATAGAATTGCACCAATGTTTTGGTCATGTCAAATATGTGCGAGATCCCGAAGAGCGATGAAGGACGGAATAAAAACTACTAATTGCTTTCGAAAGCTCACCTTTCCCTTTGAATTTTTTAATGCGTAACACGGTGGTTAACAGATCATCGTTCAACTCCATTGGTGCCGATTCGAATCCGCGCGAAAGGCAATCTTTGCCGTTACTGCCAATTTTCTCGAGTTAGGAATAAACCACGCATTGTTTCCACATCTAAGACTAAGGATGCATCTGGTAGTGACCGACCGGTGCAATTTATGGCAGCCGCATTCTATCTATCCTAAATCGCCTAGACCCGAACGTCTCATCGCGTACTGATAAAGTCAGTCTATTTATTATGGAACTGTACTCGACCGAGCTATGAGGCATTCTGACGTAAATATTAAATTGTTATTTACGCCAGTCACTGACTCCTGACAACTCCTCGAATTTGTTGTTTTAGTTCCAAAAGCTTAAACAAAAGAACCCGAGGCGCTCCACAGTGATACCCCCGGCATTCCCGAAATATCTGAAACATCTAATCTTGTCAGTTATGGAGCGCTCTCAAAGTGCTCGACTTTTATCAGTTCACCTACAGTCGAAAAACGGGAACCGATGATGCAGTTGTCCTTGTAATAGGCCAAACTGCACAAAAATTTGACAAAATTAGATGAATTGTAAGGTCGTTGCTTCTTGAACTTTGTTCTGTTTTTAACGTTGAGCCGCGCAATCATGTACTTCAGAAGGCAGTCACTAGCCATTGAACGTTGGCTAACTCATTCTCTCGCCCCGCCCCACCATTTAGTCAAGGTTGATAGCAACGGATTCTGCCCCCTATAGAAAAATTTTAACGTAGTTCTCGGTTTCTTCCTCTCCTTCTTGCTTTCCAACTTCTTCACGAATAATTGTGCTGTCAGTTCCCCTTTCAATGCACCAGATGTTCGGACGACCAATGAAATCGCTAAATGAGGGAAAAAGTGATCGGAACGCATGCCGATACTTGCCACTATCTTCTTCATCTTCATCTTTATCTTCATCTTCCATCGCCGCTTCTCCTTTCGGGTCGCGGAGGCAGACGCGTCAGACAGTGCTT